CGTTTTTTAAGGCCAGAGATCGCTTATTTCATCTAGACATTTTAAATAGCAGTTTTTTGGATGCTTTTTGAATGAGTAACAGTGGTATTCAAAATCTCCTTAATATGGTGGCTCCTTCAATTGCGAAACTGGACACTAATTACAGACAGGTCAGTGGAGCGGGGCGGGTTCACGATTAATAAGGCAGCTCGATCTACGTCGACTAATCCATTCTACCATCGATCGATCAGTGCGATAGAAACTATGGATCGACGCCGACGAATCCATTCCACTATCGATCGATGCCATCGATCGACGATTGATCGATTGGTGTGGTAACACCCAAGAAGGAGCATGTATATATATTATCTATTCCACTGAATTTATTTTAAAATGCTACAGGCGATCCTCCCTGGCTTTGCACGGGTGATTTCTGTATCTGGACAAATGCGCCAATTACGGGGTCCAATTGTGAGTCTAAACGATTCAGAGACCCCACTCAAACAATTTCACCAAAATTGTTCGAGCCGTTTTCGAGTTTTAGATAGACTAACTGTCGGCAATTAATTTTTATACTAAGCAAGGTTTAGACGAAGCCAGTAACGCTGATGCCAGTCTTCCGAGAAGCCAGCGCTGGCCTGGCCCGTGTTGTTTAGATGAGGCTAGATAGATTCATTTCATTCCTAGATTATTCTTGTAAATCGTTGTATTAAATTAATGATTTTTTAAACTGACTGAAAAATAATGTTTATCATATACCTACATACATCAAATATAAGTATTTGTACAATATGAATAGTAAAATTTTTATATTACAAATTATTTATTCTCGCGCGGGGGTTGCGGGACATGAGGGCGGAGGTCACTGGCTTGTCTTGAAAAATTGTTTATAGGAGGCCAATAACAAGCCAGCACTGGCTTCGTCTAAACCTAATATTTGCTAAATAATGTGCTTAGCTTATAGATGATTTCAACGTATTATTTTAGTAACATCCCAAGAAAGGAGGTTGATTGAATTCGTAAATAGCAAGATTTAAAACGTACTAAATTAAATACGAAACGTGAAAAAAAAATGAAATTTGATTAAAACGGAATGAATTTTTGTGTTGTTAAATACGAGAATAAATCCTTAATACTTGTTACTAGATTTTTAACTTCCCAGTGGAAAGTTATTGTAAGGGGTCCGATTTTGCAAATTGGAAATTTTAACATATCTCCACGTTTCAAGGTCTTTAGGTCGAATAATAGTATGGTTTTAAAAGGATGTCCGTGTGTGCACATGTACGTACGTACGTATGTATGTTCGGATTCAATTTTCGCCTCGTGTATCTCCAGAACAAAGAGTGATATTGACATGGGACCAGTTTCATTTAACGCATATTTATGTAACTTAGACCTCATTAAATTTTGAGCAAAATCGGTCAAGTCGTTTTTTGTGCCGAATGAAAAATTGTATAAAATATTAAAGCATATGATATTTTTTTATTCTTTCCACTGGGAAGATAGTCGTGTGGACCTTTCGGGTCGCATCTAGACCGCTTTTTTTGGAATTAGAAGATTTGTATAAATGCATGCTACATTTTACTCAAAAAAAGATTGCCAAATAATTATGCTAATTATAATTGTAATTTATTTAACAAAGTTGTATTAGACTAACATTACATCACTTTCGGTGCACCTTCCTAAACGACTAAGAATCTTTTGCAAATTCCTTTAAATTCTCGTATAATTCATTATTATTTTGATGTATATTTACTAGCCTATGCTGAATATTAAAATGTGTTTATTGTAGTTATTAATATCTTTACGAATGACTTTATTACGATAGCATTTGTAAAATTCATACAGTTTATTTAACGTGCTAATTTGAAAACAAGCAATGTCTTAAACTTTGAAATCGGAACTATTTATCAACTAAAACATGTCCAAATATTGACATGGTAAAGTTATAAATATTGTTGTTTAAAATACCGAAAATTATGAAAAAACTACCTAGCAACAAGGTGTCAAGCAAAACAAATGAAATAATCATGAGTTCATGACACTGGTTAATTCGATAAGGTCCTTGATTTGAAGCGAGACAGGGTAACAGCGCCGTGGGAAAATAAATCATTTACCTCATACCTACTCATTGTTTTTGTAGAGCGTGGCTTGGCGGGCGCGTCAGATGACACGGTCACGCTAACATTTTTTAATTCGACGCCTTTTATTGAAATAATTATAGTATGATGCGTGTGAAAAATAAACAGATTTATTTAAGTGTATTCATTAAATGCATGCACTTTGTATATTAAAGTTGAATTATCTACATGAGGTTTCTCGCCACTACATTATTTTGTCGGTTATATCGGCAATATTTGTAACAATCATAATTTTCGTTACCTAATCTATTTTATTCAAGGTCCACGTACATTCTGATAACGTGAGCCAACCGAAGATCGCCATAATTCTAAAGGTCTAATTAAACAGTTACGACTAACCTTAAATAGGAAACCATGAACGCAAAATAATTTTCATGAAAGAAAATAAGCAATCTTGGGTGTACATTAACTTAAATATGTGTCCCTATCCTAAAAAAAAATCTTTTAAAAAAAGATTTTTTTTTAGGATAGGGTGACAAACAAGCACACAGTCCACTTGATGGTAAGTGGTGGCTGTGGCCCATCGACATCTACATCTATCCTCGATTACGAATCAAAATGCAGATGCGTTGTCACCCGTAAGGACTAAGATGGAATGCCTCGTTTCCAGTTAAAAGGGTCTCCGGTTCTCTACACTCACTATACGAAACACTGCAGCATTAAGCTACTATTTGACGCTAGTATTCTGTGAGAGCGTGGTCCCTCCCCGGTCGAGCCGACCCATTCGTGCTTACAACTATAGGTACTACTAATATAACTGCAGTATGGCTCTACCACGTAAATTTGAAAGAGAGAAATTGAAGAGGGACTTGAAGACTTAAATGGAAGAAATGTGTAGTTTTTGTTGCATGCCCAAAAATTACCTTACAATAACAATAAACGGTGAAAATTATTGTACCTAAATGATAAAAGTAAACGCCAATTCGTTTTTAAATTTATTTATTCTAAACCAGTGCTTGACCACAACCCCAGTGGATGGTAAGTGGTGATGAAGTCCTAGATGTTAAATCGTACTGTCTTAGCGTTAAATTTAAAGTTACAGCCTATATACGTCCCACAGCTGGTCACAGACCTCCCCTCATTTCTGAGAGGGTTGTAGGGCAAGGCAGTGTCCGCCGCACTGCCCCAATGTGTGTTGGCGAACTTCACATGTCTTCGAATTTTTTTTCTTATTTCGCAGACATGCAGGTTTCCACTTAAAATTGCAATTAACAACTTCATTGGTGCCGGCAGAGTTCGAACCCGGTTTGCTCGCGTACTGTGAAATTTACAGCGAGCGCTAACCATCTGAGCTACGACGGCTCAACGGAAGCCTATTTACTCTCGCCTTGAATACGCCCAGATTGTATTCCGTCGGAAAGACAGATGCAGGCAAATTATTTCACTTCTTAGCTGTACGCATTATAAAAGATGAAGCAAAACTGTTAGGTTCTAATACATGGAATATCAACAACAAAGAGGTAGGAGGAAGACCCGCAGGCCATCTGGTTGTCCAATGGTGGAAAGGAGAGGGAGGAATTAAAGCACGTAATTACCGGGAGGTTAGGAATGAAAGCATGTATTAGGCACCTGCAATTTTCTAGACTGGGTAATTTGGTAAGAAAAGCGAAAAACCCGAATGCATCGATCGCGGTCTCAAAACAGGCAAACAAGATAAAGTAGGCAGGTTTTTTCGTCATTATTTTAGGACGTTTTAAATTTAAATTTATCTATGAAAATATTTCAAACTAATTTTGATAATAATCACGCCTTTTTGTATTGCATGTTTGCATTTTTTATAAAATATAGGTCATTATTTATTATTTAAATAGGTAATTCATTCAAACGTAATACATACACTTTTGGAGTATACATATATCTTTCTTTATAATATTGTTGTCTTTCTTTGTACAATTGTAATTCTTAAAGCAAGAGCTACTCATATTTATTAACCATATGTTCGTCAATTCGTTGACGTAACTTTCATAAAAACCTGTTTCATGCAGAAAATTACAACCATTGTAAGCAGAAATTGCATAAACGTTGCACATTGCATGTGGTGAATTAAATAGGAGTAACGAAACCTGTTCGGGCCTATAATATACGAGAGCACTTCTCCAACGAGTCACAAACTGCAGACCCGTCGCTATATCATAATTTAGAACGTTAGCACGGAATGCAGTTTTATTGTGCATGAACGCGACTTTAATATATGCAACACATTGTCGTTCTTGAACAGCCCAACAAATGAACACAAACGAGCGAAAGCCACTTAGACCAAATTTACACTTAGCGGGAGACCACGGTTGCACTATGCCTGACGATAGCGCTGTCGCGCGCTCCATACCGTCAGCTGCTAACTACATAATACTAGTTATATATATATACACGTATCATTTATAGAAAGAAAATGCTTTAAAAATAAATTGATTACAAAACGCATTTACCTATCGCATGAATTTATATCAGCATATTTAACTTGTAAAAATAAAAGTACTTAGAGTTCATTCAATAGGTCATTGCACTTCCGAGACGACGTCCGAAGCTATTAAGGAGCGCTGTTTTTTTAATATGGAATGCATAAAAAACAAGAGTATCCAACTTTTCAAAACACTTATCATCTTAACAAAATCGGTATGTTAAGGAATTGCAATAAATATTCTTGTTAATTTTGAAAACTAAACAAACACTTTCATATGTAGTGTACTCAAAGTGCAGAACTCAGTAAAATATAGTATAGGTAGTTTTATGTAAATATAAACAATTATGTATGGTAGGGACGACATTAAAAGCTAATCGCATAGGTATGGATTTTTAACTTGGGGTGTAAATTTGCATCATCGTGTACAAAGGAAATATTTGAAGTTCTAGGGTGGGACATAAAATATACCACTAAGTTACCTCAAGATCTTCATAGGTGCGAAATGCCATTATGGCGAAACCATCAATGATATCTTCTTCCCCGAGCGGCTCCTTCGACTTCTTTCTCCTGGCTGGAGGACGAGGCGGCTTCTCTCTCGCCGGAGACTCGTCCTCGCCGCTGTCCCCATCCTTAACTTTGCTCTCTCGCTGTGCTTGCATGCGCTGCGCCCGCTCCCTTCGCCTATTTCTTTGATTGCGCTGCTTCACTTCGTTTTCCATCGTTCGCACATTATTCGAAACACCCGACCACCGTGCTTCACTACACTAAAGTCCGCACTACACTTTTATCACACATGGTATTACCTTGTTTTTATGCCGTGTTATTTGACGAATTACAAATATTGCCCTCAGAAAAAGACACTGGTCGTTTCCAATGGCGGATCGTACACCGTTGCCGCATTGCAAGTAAAATGGCCGCGTAGCACTCAAAGGGCTGAATTATTTCACATTTACGTAAATGGAGACATAATTACACTTAAACTAATATATATTACAATTAATCTTAACAAGAACTAAAACAATAAAAGAATAAATTAGATTTATACATTATTCTCTGTGTTCGGAATCAGTCAATAGTCAATACAATGAAAGGTGTTGCACGACGCCAACGCTACGTTGCGGTCGCGATGGTGAACTAAAACAGGGCTACCAACATGAGGGGAGTACATTCCGCGATTCGGGTCGGGCGTCATTGGCAATGTGGCGCTCGGTTTTACTCTTCTAACTTACATTGTTCTCTTTTTATGTCATAAAATGAATATTATTTTGTTGACCTATTTCATGTTATAGCGCTAAATATTAAAGTTTATTATACATACATACTTTTATTACAAATAAATAAATAAATGCATTAACTATGGATTGATAAGTTTCTTAACAAAAATAAACTTAATAATAACTTTTAAGAAAGAGGGTTTTGTGCAGATATTTTTAAGGTTGGTACTGTAGTGTAATGTGTAAAGTGTTCGACATCTTTGTACATCTTCACCTACTCCAAGAGACACAAACGTCTAATCACAGAGTTATTGGAATCTAATAACAATAACTCTTTTTTCTATTAAGTGCTAGCACTTGCTTTCATGTTTATTTTTGTTCTTGTTGAATAGTTGAAAGTTCTGTGTTACCAGATCTAAACGCAAAAATGTGACGTTTAAGTTTTTTGTTATCTTTGACGTTTTGTGTCAAGCTGCATTCAAATTAACGTTTAAATTTATGACTGTTATTATATTGAAGTAAAAACCTCTTAAAGTAATATATACATACGTATGGAGGTTAGTGAACAGGAGAACGATCGCTACTTGCTAAAGCATAGCCCGCCTGTCCCCGAAAAATTGTAGAATTTATAGCCGCGCTGCCGTCGGTAAGTAGTGTCTGCGAAGTAATTTTTTAATTTTTGACAAAAAGAAACGTTGAAAAATGGTGAAATATTATAACAAATAATAATAATATTAATAAATTAATAATAATTAATATTTATTATTAGTAATAATTTATAATGTTTATAATAATGAAAATTAGTGACAATTTAGCGATCGCAGCGCCTCACTTATTTTGTCCATACTTCTGGGACACTATTTTATATAGCGATCGTTCTCCTGTTCTCTAACCTCCATGTACATACGTATGTGAATAGAGAGAACCTACAATTCTAGAGTCAATATACTTGTCTCCTTTTTTTATTTAATTTTCAAATAAGTCAAAAATAGATAAATCTATTGAAAGATGTTGCGTGTCATTCATGCGTGGAAATAGAAATGTAAAGTAAATTGACTCAAGTGGTCATCTCTGGTCTCTTTATAATAAGCCAAATATGAGAATAAGAAGTACACACGTATGACATCCCTATTGTTGTAGTATTAAGCCCGTTCTAGACTGTCGGGACCAACCACAACCGTCGTGACCTTGGTCGAGTTGATGTAAAAATGGACGGTGTGGACATCGGTTGCCTGACCAATATTTTGGTTGATGTCCAACGACCTTGGTCCTTGGTGTTAATCTATATTGATTTCTTTCGCAATGTTAGCAACAATCGACATCGATATATCCGTTTTAGTTTATTTATTTATTTTTATTACCTTATATACCTAAAATATATACAAAAAATAGAACTAGATTTATAATGATAAAACGATCAAGTAAATTGTTTTGTAAATGAAGTGATTATATAACTATACTAATTTACGTGGTGGAGCCACGCTGCAGCTTTAGGTGAGTGCAGAGATTCGGAGACCCTTTTTTACTGGAAACGAGGCATTTCATCTTAGTCCTCAGGGGTGACTACGAATCTGCATTTTGATTCTTAATCGAGAATAAATGTAATGTCTATGGGCCACAGCATCCACTTACCATCAGGTGGATTGTGTTGTGTTCGTTTGTCACCCCTAGTCTATAAAAAAACTATCGTAGCAGTGCCCTATACGTATCCGTGACATAAACCCAGTTTCCATTAAACAAACACAGTTATTACTCCCTGTGAAACCCATATTAAGTCTTAGGATAATTCGGCGGAAATATACCGGCTGAATTTAAGTAGATTTCATCGTGAACTTTTCACGACATATTTTAAGTTATACAACGATAGTACAAAACTCCACACTAATCGGCTAAGTTTTTGTTTTAAGATGTCAGATGAAGCTTTCATAAACTTTTGTTGATATCAATAAGTATTACGAACCGGATTAATAAAAATTATTAACTTTACTAAGTCATAGACTAAATGAATTTATCCACAACGTTTTTTGTTTCGCTAATAGCACATCAATAGAGGTGTCTATGGAATGAAAAAACGACAACAACCTTGGAAAAAAAGAAAATGAGAATAATATAGCTATCTTATTTTGAACTATGTTAAACGTCAAATGTATAAAGACTTCAGCTATAAAAATTTTGTTCCTATTTTAGAAATCTCTATGCTAGTCATTACTCTGAGGAAAACTTCTATAATATCGTCATGATTTAAAAGCATAGATTTAGTATAAACTCCATAGTTTGGCAACTACAACCAACAAACAAGACAAAAAACTGATTCTCTTTGTGTGTGTAGATTGTCAATGTGTGCATTAATATTGTTGTACTGTAATAATTTATCGATATCGATCAAAATTAACGTTAAATAAAATGTACCAATATGAAAGACACTGTACATATGTCATATAATATCCTTTCCTATTTTATGTATAAGTTTTCAGATTGGAAACAATATTTCTAAAAAATGTATTAAGCCAGGTTTGTTATATAGGTACATATTTTTTGTTGAATATCATCACGGCCTATTCATATTCCACTTCTGGTACGCCTATACGCCTATTTTACTATAAGCCAGACGGGTTGATGAGGCATAGGGATTCGTTTGAGTTTTCGGTCTTTTGTTATAATAACCTTTCGTACTTTAAAACACCTGCAGGTTGGAATGGGATGAAGACATAAAGAATATACGAAGTGAAATTTCGCCACAGGCAGAATATTAACGCGCAATCTTTTAGCACACACTACTAGATGCTCGGCCAATAAGCTAGTTTTTGGTAACAAGTAACTTTTGGGTCAAATTTCTGGCTCGATTCTTAAAGCATTGCAAGCATAATTTAGTGCAAGCAAAGTAATGCAAACCTAAAGGAAATGTTAGGACGAATAATCACATATTTCTAGGAAAATAAAAAAATACTAACGCTTAATACAATGATAACATTTGTAAGTTCAAACCACAGTTGCCTAAACACGCTTGTGTGTAGCGGATATTTTTTATCAAACCAATTTGATGCATTCGCATACTGCGATCCATTCCAGACTAAAATGTGACGGTACGGATGCTCAGCCCTGACAATCTGCGACCGGTGTCTGCCACTGACAAGGCCTCACATGTTGTGTCGACATGCGACTGTTTCTTTTTAATTTAATGAAACTAGATTGACAAACGAGCACACAGTCGTCCACCTGATGGTAAGTGGATGCTACGGCTCATAGACATCTTCATTTATCCCTTATTAAGCATCAAATGCAGATGCGTTGTTACCCCTGAGGACTAAGATGGAATACCTTATTTCCAGTAAACAGGGTCTCCGGTTCTCTACACTCACCATACGAAACCTATCTCGATTGAGTCAACCCATTCGTGCTACAAACATTATATAGCTGTAGCATGGCTCTACCACACTGATGTTACTCTACTCAGTCTCCTGACTAACTAAAGTTGGCAACAATTATATTTGTATTCCTAAAGTTATCAACTGACAATGACTAGGAATATATATACCAAGTTGTTGCCGTGTAAAGTACATTTATGCTAATATCAACAGGAAAAAAGTTTAAATAAAATAAAGACATATAAAAAATATTTATTCAAGTACCATTAAAAATAAATAATAAAAATAATTTTATTATAAAATTTCCGAATGCTGTCCTTATTTACATTTTGCCATTTGTGTTCACACATAATTATTTTGTTTAAAAAAACTTCTCAATGATCAGTTTTACTTATAAGTTTGTTTTATAATGTTTGTTTAAAACTTTTACAAACCTTTAATTATATTGCAAAACAATATTAATTTTTTTCTTATATACATGGCAAAGAAAATCACTTAATGCTAATATATTTTGAAGTAGCAGAGAATTCGCATTATAGCAATATAATATATATGTAGAATTATTTTAGATTATTCTTTTCTTTAATTTGAATATCATTTTTAACATTTCTCTCTTTCTTGATGCCACTCCAATATCACTGATATGTAGACGATCTGTGTGAAAGATGCAGTTCAACCTGGAATTCAATCAAATTAAATAGACAAGAAGGCTTATTTCACATAACTTATGTGACTGATGTGATGCAAGGGCAATCTAACATATAATCTAATTTAACAATAATATTATATAGAAGAATAGTTCAACCTTCATACTGTTACATTATCTAGACAACTCTTAATATATGTAGTAAGATAATAAGAATATCATTTTATAATTAGTATTATTAGTTTATGGGGTATTAGTACCGCTCGATCCAGTCAACTGAAACGTCGCAGGCACATCACACAATGACACTACACCCACACTAAATGGGACAAAGGATTACGAATGGGGCGCGTCGCACCCGCACACGTTCCTGGGCGGTTCTCACCGCCCAGACCATCGACCGACACGAGCTGAGCAGTTGGAGACGGGGGTCCGCACTCCTCCCCTCGGACTGCGGTTAGATAGCTCAAAAACGCCTAAAAAGCCGAAATGATGATTGGTAACAATACCAAATCATAAACCATTCATCATCATCCTCACCTCATTGCCTTTCCCTTTTTTAATTATTCCTGAGTCAGATGAAGCCGTAAGAGTTGCATAGACTAACAGCGCTAACATCCAGAAACTAGACTGGGGTATTAGTAGTGTATTCTCATCTGATTGGGCTGAATAAATATATAAAAGGAAATGATAAATATACATAAACATATATTTCATATACTAACATAAATAAGTAAATAATACATAAATAAATAAAAGCCCAACCAGATGGAGGCCCTCGGCAGGGGAGACCAAACGGCCGAGGGTTAGGGGGAAAGGGAAAGAAACCGGCGGACGATGCGGGCGGTATCGAGGAGCACCGCCTTCTGCATTTGAGCCCGGAGCAGTCCGTCACGGAGTTAGTTTTATTATTATTATTTATTATTATTATTGAGACATACTCGTATATTGTATTGAAACATTAAGGTGTATATGATACATTGTTAGAAAGGTATCCCTCCCGTGTAGGGGAAGCATTTGCCCACACAAATCTAAATAATAATGCACTATTATTTAGATTTCTGTGCATTTGCCTCATTCGTTGCGTTTGTCAGATGGATTAAAGATTAAGGAAGAAAGAAGCACAGCTCTGGCACTTAACACTACTACCCGTTGCCCGTTTGAGTTTTTTCGAGATGGTTAGGTATACATATTATATCGTCAGCTATCAGAAGCCGTGAGATCTTTTGGACATTTCTCAAAACACTATTACTCCAGGCGGACCCCTTACGATAGGATGTAATAGAATAATTGATTTAGGTATGCGCAGTTTACTCTTACTCATCAGACGGACGAATGAAATGAATATAAATGTATATTGTGTGTGTAATACATGTTATGGCAACGCAGATAATCAATCACATATCAGGTGTAGAAAAGACCATCTGGTGTTCCCATTACAGTCCTATATAAGTCCACTGCTGAACATAGGCCTCTCCCGAAGATAACCGCATAGAGAGGATTTGGCCATAGTTGCCAAGTTTGGCAGGCGGGTTGGCAGTTTTTTTTTACAATTTGTGTTGTTTTCAGGAATACGCTGCTACTCATCTTCTGGCTTGTGCACCTTTGTCGCTTCTTACGATGCCCACGGGACGATATGGTCTTACACCGCCACTACACGGTCAACCGTTTTTCGTTACTTTATTATGAAAATAAAAATGTAGGCTTTGCAGGTGTAAACGATTCGATACAGATTCTGTACTTACGGTAATTGTGCAGTTAGGCAAATGTCGTTTAGCTGACAACAACATGTAATGAATTATTTAACAACTCAATACATAAAATTAACGTAATTAATGTACTCCGATCGATAGATACAGTAGCACGGATTTTTATCATTTGGTCGTGTGATACCACGGAGTGAAGTTGTGCAACCATCCGAATGTATTGGTTAATAAAATAAAAATGATGAAGAGTATTATGATACGTCTTTTATAATTTATGTGAGGTGTAGTTGGGGAGAATTGATTTTATTCAGGTATTTATTTAAATCTATTACTAGGTTTTTGTATGTTTTTATTATTTCTTTATAAGGAGCTTTGTAAACTTAAGTAGCAATGACTGTTATTATCTCAAATATTATTTCAATTACGTGTCACCAGGGGATTAGTGGTAGGTTATAATGTCGCTGGTCTTGGACATGGACAGGACTATATACTACTAGTAGTATATTTGTTAGGTAGCCTAGGAATTTAATTACTCAGCCATGTAGTTTTCCTTACGATGAGGGTTTTATTTCTTTAGTGCAATTAAGAAATTCACAGACGCCTATGGAAACTAAATTAAAGGGTTGGTTTTAAAGTTAATTTCGCGAATGTTATGTCTTAGGCGAGAAAGAAACATCTTAAGGATATGTCAAGACTGACAACTTAGATTTAAAAAACAGCGTTCAGTCACAAACTAATCTTTCATGCCTTCAATTTCGTGGAACAAGAGCTGTAAAGTTCAGTGAAATGTTTGAACCGTGCTAGCACCAATGAAATTGTAAATGTGTTTTTTTTTTAAAGAAATAATTGTGTGCTGTTTTACTACTGGCTCGGCGGCGAATGGCAACATCTTAAGGAAATCTGCATATAAGAAATTAAAAATGCTAATATATAGAGACCTTATCATCATGTCGATCATGTGATGTCCACCAATAAGCATTAAGCTAACGCGGTGGACTCCTCTTTAACTTAAAACCTTCTCAAGAATAATGTCCTCGCCAGTGGCTCGTTGTACTACTATCTATATAGTTAAATGTCGTTACTTTGTTTTTCACTATTATGTGCTATTTATATAATAAATCTATAATAAAATTTTATATAATAATCTTATAAGCATTTTTATACAACTTAAAATGTTAATGGGAAGGTAAAATATGGGTTAATTTGTATTCCGTTTATATTTTATGTTTTGCAACTATAATAAGCTCAAAACACGAAGGGGTGGTAAACGTTTTATGATATAATCTTAGTGTACCATTGTTTGTTTTTCATGTCGTCGACTTGTAAGTAGATACGGAGTCCCCTATTTTATAACTACCGATTTTGATTTAACGAAACAAGGATAAAAAACGTAGAAATACACTTTTATAAATTTAATTGCCCGTTACGTTTTTGAACATTATTTTTATCACTGAATAAAATATATTTTGAGGTTTAACGTAGTTATTATGCTAATATAGCTGATTAAATTCATGTCTTTTTTGTTCCTCTAAGTAATTACCGTTATCGACAAAATTAGAATTTCGTAATTTGTTTACTGCTATTTTAATAACGCTAAAACTCTTGCCAACAGGTTAATTGCAAAGTTATTTTTAATGGATCTTATTATTTGGTAGATTTGTATTGTTAGAGTGGAAGTCATTACTTCTACTTTTTTCATACATAATAAGAGTGATAAACGAGTACACAATTCACCTGGTGATAATTGGATGCTGTGGCCCATAGACATTTACATCTATCCTCGATTAAGAACCGAAATGCAGATGCGTTGCCACCCCTGAGTACTAAGATGGAATGCCTCGTTTCCAGTAAAAAGGGTCTCTGGTTCTCTACAGTCACCATTTGAAACACAGCAGCACTATGCTGCTATTTTACGCTGGTTTTCTGTAAGAGCGTGGTTCATCCTCGGTCGAGCCGACTCATTCTTGATTAAACTCCATCTCAAATTAGGGTTACAAAAGTATACCAAGATAAAGGCTAGGATGATATTGTGACTTCGAACGTGGCGAAAAAGAATTTCAATTCCTTCGATCTTACTGATCGAAGTTCATTTCAGATATCAGTAATACAGTAATCGTAACGCAACAGGCGGACCCATTTAAAATTAAAAGGTGCAAGTCTATGAACGTCAAACAAAGAATGTCACTGATGAGTATCCTTACCAATCCAACCGGAAGTTAGTTAGCGGTCGGTATTGCGGGTTTGAATCCCGCACGGAACGAAGGATGACTTACAAATAAATATTTCGCGCTTGGATGTTTGTAGATTATTTCCAATATATGTATTTAAAACACCTACACGATCCTGCGGAAATTCCTAGTGTAATCTACCAATAAATTATTAGAATATTTAAATAAGTTCTTATTTTAAATTATCACGGTTCTTTTACCCTTGAAGCGGCAACATAGGGGATGTTTATCGGGTGTTGTTTTATTATATTCCGTGGGGTGTAGTACCAAGCCAGATGGACTCTAAAACAGAAAAGGTCTCGACCACCCAGTAGGCTAACGATTTCATCAATAGATATTATTTCTGCGCCTCCTTAGTAACGTCAAGAAAATGAAAAACTACGGTTGCCAACCAGCATGCCAAGCTTGGCAACATAAAATATCCACCTTATGTAATAACCTATTAACTCTTTATGTTAGTTTCATAGGCTATAATAACTAAAAAAAAATTGTAAGTACTTCATAGTCATAAGAATAGATGAAGGCATGCATACTTTTCATCTTTTCATATTTGGATAATTTAAAAGTTTTCTTTCAATGTTTCAGCAAACTTCAACTCAAAGGATGAATACTAAAGGTTGTGATCGCGCTATCGTCGCTACTTCGATATTAGGAATATTGGTTTCCACATATGCTTTATACGTGGAGATGGCAGCCGAAGCGCGGCCCGGCTATAAAGCGTTGTGTGACCTTTCGGAGCATGCAAGCTGTACGCGGGTACTTACATCAGAGTAGGTTTCCCTTTCTTTCGTAATGTTACATAACCTGTGTAGATGTTCTTTGTCGTATTCCACCTGATGGAAAGTGGCTACCGCAGCCAATGTATGTATACCTGCACCCAACGTCAAGTAGAGAAGGCTACAGACGCGTTCTTGTGCGCATTCGAACGCATTCATCACATAACCATACGTGGTAGAGCCATGCTGCAGTTATATTATGGTTGTAGCACGAATGAGTCGGCTCGACCGGGGAAGGACCACGCTATTACAGAATACCAGCGTGAAATAGCAGTTTAAAACGGGCTACATACGACACGATATCGGTGGCGATCTAGGGTGGAGTAGTGGGGATGCCTCCTAGATTGCCTCTAAATCGTGTCGTATGTAGGGCCATCCTAAGTCGTGGCCGATATCGCCTCCTTAATCGGCTGGCAGGAGCAAAAATGCTTCCTAGATCAGCCGATGCTTCCTAGATCGGGGCACCGCCCCCCTCCTTACTGCGTGTGTGTAGGCGCATCGGCCCGATTTCTTTTGGCAGTCGCTGCCGGCAACCCTCGCGGAAGGAAGTTAACAAAACAGTGATACTGAATGACCTTTTTTATATAACAAAATTTTTACATTTTAATCATATAAACGGAGTAGAAGCCTATGGCACTGATATTTTACAAAAAAACAAAAAAAAGTGAATAAAATAAATAAATGATGAAAATGAAATTTTATCGAAATTCAAATCATATCCACCCTAGCCTGTGACCCTTTTTTTTAACATGGGGAAATGCCTACGCATACCCGCCTCGCGGGGGCAAGGACGGGTTATGTCGGACTCGCACCGACTAAAACCCCATGGTGTTCCACCTTCGTCGCATATTGGCAGGGCTACGGGAACGCTTTCGCACACTTCCGTGGCCCTACCAGCGACTGCCGCCCCATGGCAGCACCTCCTCGGGAGAGGAATATTCCTCCGCGTTCTCCTTCCCAAGTAAGGCGCACCAGAACACATGGCACGCCTTCCTCCACGGCCTCCAATTGCATCTGCGCAACAGACGCCCCCCGCGTCCGATGCGCGAAGGCCATGGGACCAGGAAAAACGAGCACTTAAAAGTACTAGCCTTCCCGACCCCAGCGGCGGATCTGGTCTATGGCTCCGCCGCCAACCAAGATTCGGCTGCGGAGGATAGGGAGAGCGGCGCCTCGCAATACCGACAATCCTCTCCCCTCGCAGCCCCATCACCACCGCATCAACGGTGCGGCCCCGTTTGAGTCGCGGAGGATAGGGCGAGTGGCGCATCGCCATACCAACACTCCTCTTCCTCCGCGACTCCACCTCGGCTGCAGCGGTAGAGGGTGCGGAGTCCCCACTCGCTGCAGTCCACCAGCACACATCCGAAGTGGGCTCTCCAAGCCCACTCGGAGTGGCCACCTCAGGCCGGCCCTTCACCTCGGGCCAGCCACGTGGGTTCCTCTTTGTTCACCGTGGGAGACCAAGCCACGGCTACTAAGCCCCCCCGCCACGACAAGGCGGGAACCCGTTCGGGGGGGGGGTAGCCTGTGACCCTGCGAAGTGACATGGTCAAGAATGCCTACTAAACTAATTTTTTTATTGCCGTTCGTAAAGTAGAGTGTATGATGTAAGTAAGGAGAAGATAAAGCCTCTCCTCAACAACTAACTCCTATTCCAACGCTATCAACCCAAGACCGCACTCATATCTCTTACAACTCCATAAGACCGCACTTCGATCTCTTACGTGCTTTCATCCTCTTATCAACAACTAACTTCTACTCCTTCACCATCTCCACATCAACAAACAAGTTATATAAAAGGGAGTATGTCCGAAATTAAAGGTTTCTTTATGTTTAAAAAAAGATATAAGCTATTTTATTTTCTGATAGTTTTACTCCATAAATAAAGATTACATTAAAAAAAAAGTATACATATTATTATACAAAAGTATTTTATTTCCTTGTTTGTTGTGTGTAATACATAACCAGATTTTGACCAAAGCAGAAATGAACAAAGAGAAGAAATAACTAAATAGCATAGGTAGGAGAAATTGACGTTTTTATATAAGTGGCGAAATCATTTCTAGAAGGTTATAAAAACTGTCTTCATCCATCCGGAGAAAATTAATCACGTCCTTGGATACAGGCCATTTAGTACGTTTATGTAGCTTAATTTTTATCTCTTTTGGAGCCATTTTTTCACCCAGCAACTTCTCTTTTTCTATTTTCGAATAAATTAACCGAGATGGCTAATGCCAAACCAACACGGTGGTGTTTTAAGAGAGTTGGAGGTATTTTGAAGAACTCTACCGCATATGCATTCCGCTCCAAGTCCGAACGCGTACTGCTAGGCAGGCCCGTGTGTAAGGTCTACCCCGATAAAAGCCCCGATTTTTTTCCACCCTAGATCGCCACCGATATCGTGTCGTATGTAGCCCGCTTTCGTATGGTGAGTGTAGAGAACCAGAGAGCCTTTTTTACTGGAAACGAGGCATATTCCATCTTAGGCTTCATGGGTGACAACTGACAACGTAACTGCATTTTGATTCTTAATCGAGGATATATGTAGATGTTTATAGGCCACAGCATCTTCTTACCACCAGGGGGACTGTGAGCTCGTTTGTCACCCTTAATAAAAATTACCTTTTTTAAAGATTTTATCCATTAATCCATATATAATAGCCTATAAAAGGCCGTTGCTGAACATAGGACTCGTTCATATCAATGAACGAGACCTATGTTCATTGTTCAAAATCCCATGAAGCTATTAAACCTTTGGGCTCATGGGATTTTGCCACTCGTTCGTTGTCAAGCTTGACAAGCAGATGAGCAACCGCAGTTTTGTATTATTATGAGTTGAAATCAGTAAGTTGACCCTGCCCATCTCCCGTTTCATTTTCTCTTTGTTGTCTTTTACGACATCCTCTGGACGGTATTGTGGTGTAGTGGATCCTTACATCGCCACTAGCCACTACACGGTTGAAAGATTTTATGCAATAAAATAATCCTTTGTCTAAATATAAATTTCTAACACACTATTAGGAGATTTTTTATGTAACGTTATAAAGACACAAGGTTAAGGTAATTTTATAAATTAACCGGTTCCGGCTTGTAACAAGCTATGTGCTAAATAAACTCAAACCGCTTGTATCACAGGTATATCATACGAATGTTCGAATATTTAACTTAATTGTCAAACTTTGATTTAGTTTGGTACATGTTTACTAAGTGCTAATGTAATTATTATATTGTGGAGTTTTATCATAGTTAAGGGTGACAATAGTAAGTGGATGCTATGGCCCATGGAATATTTATCCATTTTGGTCCGGATGGGTTAAGAGTTAAATCAGATAAATGCATTATGGGGTCACCCGTCAGGTAAGCTGGAATGCATCGTTTCCAGTAAAAAAGGCTCTCTGGTTCTCTACACTCGCCATACGAAACACAGCAGCATTAAGCTGCTATTTTACGCTGGTATTCCGTGAGATCGTTGTCCTTCCCCCGTCGAGCCGACCCATTCGTGCTACAAACATAATATAGCTGCAGCGTGACTGTATACTTCCGTACTGCAAAATTTTTCATCATCATCAGTTAGTGACGATACTGATTACTGATGTTTTGTGACTGTTCTCATTCTGATTTCAATTACGATCAGAACTTTCGTACGTTGTTCGAAGTATATTCGTATCAACTGCGCAGGTCATAGAATACTATAATACACAATAGAATGGCTTTCAACCGTATTTTGTAGGTGGATTGGCGTCGCCGGGAGCACACATACAAGCAATTACGTCGTATTATCAGTTATCACTACTACAAACACATTTTAGACTTTTGATTCATATTTTTGACACATAAATATTTCTTTATTTTTGTTTCTAATATTCACAAAATATAAATAGTTTCGACTTACTGGTTGTAGAATATGTCTCCTTTATTTAAATTCCATTTCTCGCTGTTCTTTCGACACGTAATTATTACACAATTTGCCATTTTTTAAATAATTTGCATGCGGCGACGACTTGACACGAAAATTGGAAACGATTGATTGTGTTGACATTTATACGTGTGAATTGACAAATTAGTGAATGTTAGTGGCTACACGGGCTTCGCCCACTCCCCCGTTCTATTATGTATGTATTATAGTATTCTATGGCGCAGGTCGTATTAAAGTGTCACAAAGTCACAAGCACATGAATATAACTAGAAGCACTCACTCGTTCTTATAAACCGAGGTAGCTTGGGGCTCAAGCGCTCGCCCTAAACTTCCTGCGTTCAATTCCCGCCGGCATGCCGGCCGGCACCCATGAAATTTTAGATTTCAATTTTAAGTGCTGATTTACCACATGCTTCGCAGTAAAGGAAAACATCGCGAGGAAATCCGCATGTCTACTGTCTAGCAGCACGACGGACTCGTTACTCCGTAACCATCTCAATTAGAGGAGGCCTGTTCTCAGGTTCTCACCAGTGACGTATAGGCTGTAACTTTTAATAAAACTAACTGACTCGTTCTTCGTTACTCACCTTTGTAGTTTTTTCGATAACGTCAGGGGAACGCTCGGATACAGTGTCGATGACACGAAGACAATAACAAGCAAAATATGAAAACTGCGTTTTGTGTTTATAAGTAAATGCTTATTTTCAAACGAGTAAACGAAACAAAGGATAGATGGAACATGGTAAAGTATAATAAAAGTTTGACAATCAGATTACCTATTATCCATTTTGGTCCAAGGATGGGTGTAAGGAGTTAAATCAGATAAATATTATGGGGTCCGTCAGGTAGCGGAAGAACCATCTCATCTCTTCTTGTATAAATGTGATAAACATCTGGTATTGTGATAGGCAATCTGCCTCGCAGCCAGCATGTAAAAATGTTTCATTTGAACAAAATGGTGGAAGGAAAACAAGTAACTTGTGTAAATATTTTTTAAATTAGAAAAAGCAACTTATCTCAATGTATTATACTAAAATATATTTTATTTATTTTAGGTTTTCTAAGGGATTTGGATTTGTTTGGGAAGATTCATCGCTAGAAATTCCTAACTGCTTATATGGAATCTTGTTTTACTGCATAATGATACTTCTATGTAAGTTTAATTAATACCTAAATTTACAGATATAAGTTAGTTTCTTAATATGGCAGAATAGCAATAAAATATTTTTTTATTGATATAACGATTGAATTTGTATACTGGATAATAAAACAGATCGATAATTTAAATGAAACAGATGCTCAATATTAATTAAATTAAATTTATTACGTTAATAAACTAATATAAAGCATGATTACAGCTTCATTCTACATACTCGTTGATAAACATGTCATAGTGAAATGTATTAGAGAAACAAACAATGTATTTCTTTGATGCGAGCTTAGATAATTTATGAGTGGCTCGGTGACTCACAATTACTATCTTACAATGAGCATTGACAGTTATTGGCGGCGCGTTATTACGATACACTGTCTGCTCTGTAGTCATTCACCAAGTATCGATAAGGAATCAATCGAATAATCATGTCAAATTTCTTTTTTATTAGCACGTTCTTTGTGGCATTCCTTGGGGGGAGGGCTATGTTCAGCAGTGGACTTGTGATGGGCGGTAATGATGATGATTATGAACAATGACATATAAGCTGTAGACCGCCTAATGGAGTCTTAGCAGTCTGTAAATACGTAAATATTACAAAATGTCAATAGGTACGAGTACATTGTTTCTCGGACATTATTTTCTGCGAAATTCATTCCTCAAGTTAGAGATTACGTAATAAAATTCGTAGCCTGAGTATCATTAATAAATTCTTACTATTTAGTAGATTTTAGCAATCCCGTGAATGCGAATGTGAGCCCACGCACGCTACCTCGACGCGCTATCTTACGAAGTACGAAACCAAGACAATGAACATTCAAATTTCATAAAATTTTGCTAATCTATTAATTTGTTAAATGCAAAATGAAAATTCGCATACTAAGATATTTGTGTAAATGGTAATTAATCCAATACTACTGTGAACTAAGATGGAATGCCTCATAATTAACAATTAAAGAAAGAAAGAAAGAAAAAATATTTATTTTTGACACACACAAGGCACCAGAACATAGAAACAAAGTCAAAACAAAAAAAAAAGTAACAATTTAAGAACAAACAAACAGCCAGTTAAAATTAGATAAAAAAAATTATACAAAATATATAATCTTAAAACTAGTGCCTCAGAGTGATGCCAAAAGATAGGATCCAATTCAGCATGATGTCAGGTTGGAAACCTAACGCTGATTTTCTACTGGCCCCCTTGGATTGCATTCGTCTTCACCTTCGAAACCAGTTACCGTGTACTTCCGCAAGAACAATCAGTATACGTGAACTCTATGAAAAGATATATCTATATATATATATATATATATATATATATATATATATATATATATATATATATATATATATATATATATAATTACTTATAAAACAAATGATTAATAAAATATGTATATAATATATGACAGGATACAAATTAAATACTTTATTATTAACAAGATACAGCGCGTGAAACTGTAACAACATAGTAACATCAGCAAAAAATAAAAAAATAAAAACAAAGTAAAACAAAATATAAAACATAAAATGTACCTCTCAAATAACCATCAAACATAGGACATGTTAGCATTAGTGTTAACCATGCCTAGGTCTTTTTGTGCATTTAACAAGTACTATTTTAGGTGACTTTGAAAGGTAGTTAAAGGTAGTAATGTAGTAATAGAGCTTAACTGCCTTAGAGGTGGTGGTATGTTATTCCATATTTTCGAGGCTGCATGGCGAAATGCTCCCTTGAAAGATGCCGATTTGTGCTTTTGTACTGAAAGTTGCTGCGAGCACTGTCTTCCATCACATTACCTCCTTGTAGCAACCCAGCCAAGTTTATTGTACAAGTAAGGCGGTTCTTGATGTTTTATGACGATGATAAAAATTACATAATCGAATTATGCGTATTTAAACGGGTAACTGAAACACTACAGTGGGTGCAGGTGGTAAACAAACTGTTTGCCGCATTAATATTTTTCTTTGGTTAATTTCCAGTTTAACAGACAATCGTTAATGAACATCTAAGAAGTAAAAGAACCCATCACCATTATACAAGTAAAAAAGAACAGTAATTGGAATGTCATTAATAATAAATCTTTTCGTATAATAAATTTCATTTTATACTTAGAAAAATATGTAGAGAAAGATAAGTGCCCAAAAGCTATCTAGATATCTCTTGTTCACCTCTCTGAATAAAGGAACTTTTTATAAATTTTTGGAAATGGATGTTTAAAAGTTCGATTAATACAGGTGGTTTAAAACCTGAACCTGAAAATGTTTCCCCTTTTATTATGTTTGCTTCATATTATTGTAAGTTGTAATCACATTTTCTATATTTAATAGCTTTCGGTATATTCTACGCAGGCATAAAACAATCTTTATAATATGAAACGCAAACAGTATTTCGAAAATCAACAAATATGTTGAGAGATGATCAATGTGGGAGTACAATACTTTGCACCGTGAAATCTCCTTACCTTATCCTGCCGCCACGATACATCAGAGAATTCTAGTGTGGGATAACTTTCAAAAATATAAAAGTAGAAATAGTTACTCGGAAACGATGTTACGGTTTAAATAGGGTGCCCTGCTGAGAACAGGTATCTTATTTCTGACAGCTGGAGCTATCTTGTCCGCCGCGCTGCTACATTGAGAGTTGGCGGACATCATATGTCCTGAAAAATATTTTATTTCCCCAATGAATTTAATTCGTTTGCATGTGAGATGGTAATATGTTTCCTCACGACGTTTTCTTTCACCTCTGTGCAAGTCGTAAATCAAAACTTAAATTTGCAATCACGCATATTTTTTGGTTTGCATTTAGGTACATCACATTGGTGCTGTCGGCAAACTTATGCTGTCCGGGTGCTTTGAAATTCACAGTGAGTATTTTGCCCCTGAGCTACAACCGACTTTAATTAATGGAAATGGGGATAATACTAAATAAAACTGGGAAAATGGAGTAAATATAAAGTAAAATAAATAACTGTAATTTCAGCTGTAATTTAAGATCCAGCCGGTAATAAACTAGCCTAGTTTATTTTTATATATATTAATAAGGTAACCTAACTAAAATAATTAAAAAAAGTATGATTTTTATTCTTTTATACGTTTTGAGAAAATTTTACGTCATCGAAGTTTTATTTCATTTTCGTGACTTACCGCGGAAGATGTAGCGAGAATCAGCACTTATTTGGTAGCTCACGAGTTGTGAATAACTGTAATCGTAAAATTTCTTCATTCGCGACTTTTCGTTCGTGGGAAGTGAGAAAGATTACAAATGCGATTTGCACGCGGAAACATTTATTGCTCAGTGCTTACTGCTTAGAGATACAAGATTTTGTAAATCCTATTATTGCAAATATTTTCTTAGTGTAAAATTTAAATTTTAGTTTTTACATTTTCAATGGTATTGTAGGTAGAGTTTTCTTTATTTTAATTTGTAATTAAAAGTAATTGTTTCGTAAATGAGAAAAGAAATTAAATTTTTAATACATAAACCAAACAAAGTGTTTATTTTCAGAATATTTCCATCCATCTTTAGATTTCGAAAAAGTCCACAACTGAGCAGGAAAGCGGGTTGGCAACGGCGGTTTGTATTGTTAGCGTAAAGATGCTGCCGCCAATTAGGTACCTGTTTTAGTTTTCTCTGTCGCCTCTTACGACATCCATGAGACGATATGGATTAGTGGAATTGTTAAACTGTCACTGCACGGCTTCGAACATTTATCCGACTATATTTCTGCGTACTTTAATACTCCACGTATTTTAAGGTCTCGCTTAACTTCAACATCATACATATTATTACTTTTACTCTAATTTTACTAGGTATTTTTTCTGCTATTACGCCTTCTTATTTATAATTGACAACAGGACAACACAGTACTATAAGTAGAAAAAAGGTTTCCGTTAACATTACGTTAACTTTTATTTGTCTCATGTCATTTAGATTTAATTTTTTTATCTTTTACCTATGTATTTTTATAATGATTAAGTGATCTAAAGATCAGAAGAAATAGCAGTAATTAACTTAGTCATAATTTCTTTTTTTCTATTACAGCTACATTTGAACATCCAGTGGTTGTTCGGATACAGTACCTTCTGTCTTTGGCGGCAATAGCGTCGAGTGTGTACCTCGCTTATCTTTTACTTTTTGTATTATTTGATTTTTGTATCGTATGTGTTTCAACATATTTCATTAATGGTATGCTTGTAGTATTTATTAACAAGAAAAAAGTATTAATTGCTACTAAAATAAAATAAATATAATATAAAATAAATATATTAAATAAAAACATATAAATGACAAGTTGTTTTAATTTTCATGTGTGTTTCGTCATGCGCCATCTAGCGAGTAATTATAACTATATTTTAATAAGTTTCCTGTAAGTAGCGTCATCTGTCGTGGAGTAGAACTTAAGTAGAGAAATACTAGATGGCTCTGTTAAAATTTGAAGTGTCTTGCTAGATTGTTTATAATATACTTAGTTGATAATATACTATAGTTTGCAAATTAGGACAGTTATTATCAGAAATATATATTTTTCAATAATTTTTAAACATTTAAATAATTAATAATATAATGATACGAAGAAACCCTGAGGCTTACACACATCACGGTTATATAATATCACTAATAACAGTAGGTATCTAAGGACCATAATATCTTAATTTAAAATATGAAGGATGTAATTAGTGTACATGTGTACTATTCCAAAACATTGAAAATATTTGCAATTTCTTATTATCTTACGGTTAAGGTTTTTTGTATCTTAAGAATATAGCTTATATTCCTAACAATTTATTAATAACTCGTATAACCACTATGTCATTATAAGTTTTGCCATTAAAACTATAAAGTATGGAGTGTAGAAGTAACTACATACTATAAAGGTTATGTCGTAACACGTAATAAAGATTTTTAAGTGATAAGGAAATATTTAACACATCAGTCTGTTATCAAATGGTTTCCGCTGGTTCTGGGAGTCTATTACTCTATACTCTATATGATCGTAAATGGATTTAATAGTCCATTAACACATATATCTATTTGTGATAGATTCAGATAATCGACGTACAGTATGGAGACAATTAAAAGCTGAAAGTATTCCGCGACGTCAATCACCTAACTCCCTGTGACCATGGGTGCTGCAAAGCGTCTGAAATGTCAGGAATTAAAAATATACGCGATAAAATCTGTAAAAACAATTTTGTTTAATGTGTAGAGTACGCATAAGTAAACACATTAACATGGTATAGGGATATTTTAACATCACATTAATTCTAAAAAGTATGTCAATATTTTCTTCAGACATACAGGGTTATTTTACAACAACCAGCCAAATTTGCAGAGGAGGTTCAGAATAAGTAATATAGGCAAGTGGTGAAAAAAAATTAAAAAATCTCAAACATTCTGTACTTTTTATCTTTTAAATTCAAAATGCGTGGTAATGCATTATTTAAACTGATTTTACTGCGCACGCACACATTATCGGTAGGCAAAAACGTTGTTGCCAATATGTTACATTCAATTTCAGATACTTTAAAATAAAAGTAGAAGCCTTATTTAAAGAAAAATGACCCTGTATATTCAAGAAAACTTTATTTAATAATCTACCTTTTTTAATTAAACATTGTTTTAAATGAGATTTTAGATTTTTATACAGAAAAGAAAAAACGCCGGTGTGAAAACTGTACATCATGAAAGTAAAAAACTAGACTTTTACTATTATTTTACGTTAAACCATTTTACAAAAAAACTATGTGTTAAAGATAAGGTGTGATGACCTTTTTATGTGAAATTAATAAATCTTCAATTAAATTTTTAACATTTTCCCACTTTTGGACACTTTTCGTTTTGGAGGTAATAGTAAAAAACTGAGTTTAGTTTTTCGGTAGTTGAACTTATTGCTCAAAGGCAATTATTATACATCTGCAGGTTTTTTTAAGTCCTGCGCGTACGTAGTCGCGGATAAAAGCTAGTAGCTTATAAATGTACAAATAATTACTTTATGAGTTTAGAAATATTCGTGATGAAATATAAACAAGTTGCCAATGCTTTACGCGTTCTTTTACAGTTCTACTGTCGTACAAAAATATGTCACGGACCATAATTTGCTTAATTCTTGTAACCTTATACGCTGCATGAATCATGTTTTTGATATTTTTACGGCACTGTTAGGTGCGCGGTCTTCCAAATTTGCACACAAAGCTTGCCTACGCGTACTTTGTAATAACTATTCGGTATACGTTATAATATAATTATCCGCAACTCGTTTAGCCTACGTCGATGTGCCTTATTTAGACATACACCTTGAGGTTCGAGTGCGTTCGTCCTTTAAATGAGTTTTTGGAGCAACTTCCTTTTATATACGAGTACTTGTCAGCAATAAGCTGAAACTGGTTATAAAATGGAGTACTCTTTCATTGTGTTTACTTTAGTGTAGTTTTATTTGTTTCTCAGATTTCGTAAACCCTGACCCTGGCATGTGCACTCACCTTTAATCCATCAAAATCAACCTGAGTTGAATTCCCTACGCAAGCTTCACTGTTTTTTTGGCAGCGATAGTCCGTGAGGAAACTGGTATTTTTGAGAAATTTAATTATTTCGGGGGAAGGTGAAATTGTATGAATTATATCTGCTCCAATATTCTTTATAAAGCAAGGGGAGGCCTGTTAATTGCAATGAGTTATAATATAATATGTTGGCGGTGTGTCACCCCCCGTGCCTCGGAAAGCACGTAAAGCCGTTGTTCCTGCACCTGATCTCTCTTCCGGTCGTGTCGGTTTACCGTCCCATCGGATTATGAGAGTGAGGGAATAGAGAGTGCACCTGTGCTTGCGCATACACTTGGGCACTATAATTCTGTCCTGCGTCGATGGCTAGCCTCCGTTGAGGCAGGCCGCCGTGGCCGAAATTCGGTCTGGAGGACATTATTATTATTTAATATGTGGGTAATCATTTTTACGAAATCCTCGAATGGAGTTCAGATTCAGAGCCGTGGTTAAGGGCTGTTTTAATATCGCGCCTATTTTCAGCAGTGGACTTGTGACGGACAATAATAATGCCCAATATTATTTGAGCCAACAGGGTTTTCAACAAAAGTACCCACATAATTAAAATGCAAAAGAGTGTAGGGAAAATTAACTTAAAAATCGTGAGTCCTCCATTTAAAATGTATCGTGAACCAATCCGGACCCAAACTTCATTTTCGGGACCAGCATTCATTTTAGAACCCAAGACATAAAGAACGTTTAAAAGCTGCTTTTTATTTTTTTTCTATTTGCATTTTAGTAATTTTTAGTTTACTTAGAAAAAATCTAAAGGCCATATCTACCTTAAATGTGCTTTGCTGAACGAATACAACTAGCTTTTTCTATATTATATGAAAGAAATTTTATTGTTTACCCATGAGCACGTACGTTGCTTAAGAAACCGAATTCGAGTGACGTCTTCAACACAGTTTATATTAGGTACATATAACTGTCGAAATGCACACATAACGCGCACTTGCTCCGTAACGGCCTTATAAGAGGGATTCATAAAAATAAAGAAAAAGTGTTATTTATGTTCTTATGAAACTATATGTTTAATAATGAATATAAATGTCCCTCTTAAACTGAAAATGATAAACAACTTGTAAAGACTTTTAAGGATATTATTATTAAAATGTGAAATTTATTGACTTCTTTGATTAGGAAACCTAAAAAGGGAATAAGTGGCTACCGAGGCAATAAATTAATTTGATTGAGTTTGAAACTTTGTTTTTAAATTCAAATCATTCTATTTTTAAGGACATTTTAAATGACAGCACCTCTAACATTTTTGTGGGCAATATCATGCTTTATTAACTTAACAATTTAATAGCTTAATGATAGTACCATAAAAGTATATAGGATATTAAGCGTCAGTTAGTTGGCGAGTCATGTATTTGAATTTTATTGAAAATCTGCTGAATTTTTATTTAACGCGTTTCTTTCCCATATAGCTACTACCCCATATCGTCCCATGGGTGTCAAAAGAGGCGATTGAGGGAAACTGAACCAGGTGATGGGTGGTCGATAACCCGCTCGCCAAGCGTGTCAAGTATGGCAAATTTCCCTCTGTGGTGCAATCTGTGGGGGAGACCTTTGTTCAGCAGTGGGCTTTTATAGGGCCATAGCAAAAACCTGCGAATATTATTAATTATAGAATAAGGGTGACAAACGAGCACACAGTCTACATCTACATTAATCCTCGTTTAAGAATCAAAACGCAGATGGGTTGTCACAGCCAGAGGACTAAGATGGAATGTCTCGTTTTCAGTAAAAAAGGGTCTCCGGATCTCTACACTCACTATACGAAACACAGCAATATTAAGCTGTTATTATACGCTGTAATTCTGTGTTATGCGTCGAGGCGACCCATTCGTACTACAGCCACAATATAGCTGCAACATGGCACTACCATATATATATATATATATACAGTGCAACCGCGATATAACAAATCGGAAGGGAACAAGTAAATATTCGTTATATCAAGTAGTTTGTTGACCAGAGGTTTGTTATGTTGAGGTTAAGTGGTTCGAAAATTTGTTTTAAAAAGGTAAAAACATCGCGACATGAATAACATACTATGGGGTTAAGAGTCATACATTGGTGGGAACTTTATATAAAGGTTTTACATTGACATAATTCGTTAGTTAGATGTATTCACACTTTGCTTGATAGTTGAAAATTCATTATAAAGAGGTTGTACGCAAGAAATGTTCGCAATGTAAAGGTTAGTCGTAAATTTAAGGGGATAACCAAAAATTTGTTAAATCAAGGAAGTCGTTATATTGAGGTACGTTATATAGGTTGCATTATACATATACAAACACACACACACACACACACACACACACACACACACATATATACACACACACACATATATATATATATATATATATATATATATATATATAACCTTTTTGTTCATAAGTCCATAAAAGTACATTGCCGGATATATGTTTAACTGGTGGGAGGACTTTACCTGCCTAGGTGTCTGAACTGGGTAGGCACCGCCCTCGTACCTGTTTGTGCTGGTTTAAGAGCCATTCTAATTACAAGTTGTGAGGCATTCCAACATAGTCTAAGCCAGTCCTAATCCAGTAAATATAAGAATATTCCTAAACGAAAGCTATCGATGTGTCAATATGTGATAATAAACCCTGGGAA